GAGGTTCAGGGTATAAATCAAACTTTTAACCTTTCGAACCTTAAAACTAAAACTGGTAAATCATAAGATTAAAATGAGTCTTATTTAGTAAATGTTCAACTATTTTCACCTATAACTTAAACTTCAGGTTTTTTACTTAGAAATAAATTGTCTGATTATACTAATGCTAATGCTATATACAACTTTAAAGAAACTGTGCAGCCATTTAATATCAATAGGATACGAAATCTGAAATTACTTTGTGCCACATTTAACAATTATGGAAATTGTAGAAAACAAACCTTTCTATACAAACACAAAAAAACTCAATTGCCCGCTTTAAGTATATGAAACTGGTTTATTCATCATGCATATTCAGCTTGCGTTCATTCAGATTGAAAATTACTTTATAACTTTATATGTATATGCATTAAATCATGCTCCCAAAAAAAAATAAAGAAATACTTCGGGCAGCATATCATTTAATCAAAAGCTCGTTAGTCTGCGCACACAGTTTGCGCTTGAATTTTTAATGGCTTAATCAGTTTCGGTTTTTTTTTTTTCTGGGTTTTTTTTTTTTGGGTAGAGCGGGGGAAGCCACAAGGAAATTGCATCGGAAAGCGATACAAAAGAAGCACATCAAGAGTTTTTCCTATACGTGCACATATGAGCATATATAAGTTTTTTTTGTGGCCTCTCACAAATTGATTTGCTATATGAAGACGGATAATTGGTTTTCGAGCCGGCTGCGGGTTACGGGCGACCATAGAAAAGCTTTCACGGATGGTCTGAGGCGCATCTATGAGTAGGTTTTATTAACAAATCAATTGGAGCGCCCTGTTAGCAACCAATTGCAATTTCTTATGCCTGAAGATTACAGATTATAGAGAATTTGAAAAGAAAGAACTTAAAACAAAATATGTGATAGAAAATTGAGCAAAGCTTAAGTCAATTAAATGCCAATAAAACTTATTTCTCTTATATATCTATAAATTGTTCGTTTAGTATAAGATAATAAAAAGAGAATACATTTTCAGTTAAAGTACAGATAACAGTTGAAAGCAATACTAAATGCATACTCTATCCTAAGATTATGCTTGATTCTTGCTTAAAGAAAGATTTGAGGTTTAATTTCAATCGCAAACTTGCTGTTTGCGTTCGTTTTGACCTCACATTCCCATATTCTCCTTTTAACCTATTACAAATGAAAATAAGTTACTTTAAGATGCAATTTGAATATTTAACGAACGGAAAAATAAAATATAAAGACCAAAAATTGAAACTATTTGTATGATCGAGGCACAAATAATTAGATGAGGCTTTGAAATCATAATTCATATTATTATTATCAAATTATTGCCTATAATATGCCCTTCGGCCAAGACATAACATTTATACTCCATGGTAGGATTTGGAGGCGTTTCCTACTTGTTCAGTGGCTCGAAAGAATGCATTCTGCCATGTTACATATGAAATTGATATATATACATATATTAGAAAACAAATTTTCTATTTTTCTACACATTTATTATTTTTAACATATTTGAGCATCAATAATACTTATTATTATATTTATATATTAAGCTCAAATGAATGAATATGTGTGAAAAAGGAGGGAGACCCAAAGACATCCAATAAGGAAAAGTTAAAAGAGTTAATCATTAAATTCAATCATCAACAACACACATCCGCTTATTTAACTCTAAAGACTGAAGATGAAAAATTATCAATATCTTCAAGATTCAAGACGATCGCATAATTAGAGGATACGAATAATTTCCAGCAAAACGTATAAACTAAATGCAGCATATGTTTTGAGGCATGTGCTAAATTGTTTTTTAGTCTCTTTGTGAGTTCCAATGTGCACAATGTAACAGTTCTATGCGAATGTGGTATTACTCATAGAAGAAGTAATAACCCATAGACGCAATTTTGCTTTGAGCGTGCGAATTGATCAGCTGATTCATTGGCATGTTCTATTAAGATTTTCACAGCTTTCTCTAGGTGTCAAGTTTTACGAACATGCTAAAAACTCGATGTAGCATAATTGTCTGTGTGTGTGTGTGTGTGTGTGTGTGTGTGTTGACTGGAAAGCAGCTAAATACTATAGCATTTGGCTCATTGCGTCGCACGTAAACTGTATGACTAATCAATATAAAGAGCAGGACAGAGACAGACTGAGAGGCAGACAGAGAAACAGATAGAGACTCTCTGGGAGACGATACGCTTGGACGAGTTTCACAAGCTTCAAGACCCGCATATGAGAGCTTTGCGTATGAGTTTTTACGATCATACGAATTGTATTTGCATTTATATTGAATACTATATGAGCAAGAGTGTATATATATATATATCGTAGTTATGTGTGTGATCGCCAGCCAAATGCCAAACAATGTGAGTCACGATAATCAGCGTTGAGCACACCGCAAACACGTCTCACAATATGCACAGTACTTATAAGCGCGAGGGCAGAATTGGGAATACACATCTTTCTAGTTTCCAAAGTAAACTTTCGATATGAATCAAAAATTTAACATAGTAAGCTTAAACTATGTATAAGGGAAAATACTTTAATGACTACGATTAAAAAATCAACAAAAATAAAATAATGTATTGAAAAAATTCTGCGTGACCAGAACAGGAGACAATATAAATGGAAAGGCTTATGGCACAACTAACTAAATAAATATATAACTAACATTAGTCTAGTTAGAGACAAAGCAAACTTTGATCACATTTACCAATTTATATTAATTTATTCAATTAACCCCAGGAGCTGCCCTCGTGCATTGCCAGAGTTACAGAGTTATATGCGCAGTTATAATAACAACGCTTTGAATATCGCACAGTGGCTGCAAAACGAGTTTCGATTTGTTGAAATAAGCATTTATGAAAAATTAAACACACACAATCCATAAGTAAATAAATGGGTATGGGTATATAGGAGACATAAGTAGACGCTAACTTGGCAAGTCTGTTGTTGAAAATATTGCAAGATGTTGCAGTTGCTGTTGCAGTTGCCGCAACTGCAATCGAGCGTAATGCGCGCACATGCAACGTGCCACAGCAACAACACCTTTGAAATGGTGTCAGCAATAATTTATCAAAATAAAGAAGCAAAAGTCGGCAGAAAAAAAAACATGAAAAATAGCATAAATAAACCAGGCAAAGCTGTTCAAACCGCATCTAAGTCTGAAAAGAGAACCCGAACCGAACCGAAACGTTGCCAGCAATTTGCATGAGACAAAAGACAATGGGCCACCACACAGATACAACACGCACACATGTGTGTGTGTATCTGTAAGATACGAGCTATCTCAAGCGGTCGCCCAGGGCATGTAAAGCGTGTCAGTGCAGCGCAGTGAAACTCGGTGAAATAATTGCGGTAAGCGCATAAATAAAATTACACATGTTGCGAATCTGCAAGCAGGCGCACTGTGGGCGACAGACACGCCCCTAAGCCCAAGCAGCCCTCCACAGCAGGTAAATGGCAGTCAGAGGCAGGCAACAGTTATTCGTATCTGTCAGATAGCTGCACTTTTATCTTATCGTGCCTTCCTGTTGATGGCCCAAGCATTTATTGATTTTTATTCTACGTTCTGCTTGATAATGCAAGTGGCGAAAAACATTTTTACGACCCCTCACCCCTCAGGCAGGGTCAGTGGTAGTGACTGTGGTGGGAGTAGCTAAAGGGTCTGTCAAGCGGTCTGACAGCAGCCGCAACTAATTAAGGAAAATGACGTTGACAATGAGGATTACTCGACCCAACCCTCTGCACGTGTCCTTTGCCAGAAAGAAAAGGGCCAGGCAAAATGTACAAGGTTCAGGGCACATGTCCCATTCTTCCACTACATTGATCCTGTCAACAAGCATTTTTATGGCATTTGACAGCATTTCCCAGAAACTAATCAATGAAAATGCAGGCAAAACCTTAAAAAGAAAACATGCGAGCAATTCGGGGTACTTTATTTTTGTTTTAAGTTCCTTAAAGGTCACGTATATGCTTAAAATTCACATTTTTTCATAAATAATATTGCTTACAGACTGCAGTAAAGTCACGATGTGAGTTTATATGAAGCCGAAATTATACTATATATTTATATTAAAAAAATATATATATAAATATATATGGATGATAAATGAGCCAAGCAGAAGTATTTTAGTTATGTAAGCCATTGAAATCGACATTGAAAACTTGGCTTATAGTCGAACACTGAAAAGAACCAAGAGAAACTGGCAATTGCTGTATCAGAGATTAAAAGTTTGCAATAAAGTTGACTGATATTTTGTATATATTGCTATTAATTTCTTTGCTCACCTTTTTCCCCCCATCTTAAACTAAATATACTTGTTGTCACACTTCTGCCATTCATATCACATGAATAAGTGCTATTTCCTGCTAAAACTATATACGGGCTTGCTGTAAGTCCGCTGATAAATTTCAATACTGTCCCTGGTTCTCCTGTGCCCTATGATTATTGTATATAAGAATAAAGATTACTGTGTAATCGCGTGATTCACATATGTTCGCATAAAAACTATTCGGAATATGCGCTACTTACTTATCAAATTGGGTTTAAAATGTCAATAAATCGGTAGAGGAACCGTATATCCAACCCATGTTGGACTACAAAATTGATAGTAGATAGTTATTTTGAAACAATCCACTAAAGTAAAATTAAATAAAAATACGATTTGCTTGCCTTGAATTTGATGACTTGTGATGATTGTAATCCAGCCGAACCATTCCATTTTAAAGCAAGTTCCCAAAAATAAGCATTAACTAATTATATACCTAGTATAGTGTATTTTAATTATAAAATACAACTGATAATATATTCTAGAGAAACATAATTTGTTCATCTCTCATCTATAGTCAATTCCTCACGTTGATGGCATTTCAAACATTAAAGTTTATTACAAAAAAAAACCTCCTTAAATATAATTGTTTACATGTGCCCAGCCCATTTTTATAGCTGGCCCGTAAATGCCCAGAAATAATATTGAAATTTCTGACTCACCGTTTGACATTGCGACAACGTTTCTCATTCTCGCGTTCGGCCTCCTTGACGCTATCCCAGCTATCGCCTACACCCGAGGAGGACATATCGTCCAGTCGCTCCTCATCCTCCATGCCGGAATCCTCGAGACTGATGTGACAGCTGGTGAGGGTCACCTGTTTGCCATTGTCGCCCACCTCAATCCAATCGGATGTTCGGATGCGCTGCGAGCGCTCTGTGCCATAGGGCGAGGAGTCTGAGGAGCAGCCGGAGGGACAGCGTTTACGTGGCGTTGAGTTGCCATTCAGGGTTTCATTGTCCTTTAACGATTTGTTGACGGCATAGGTCAATGTATCCTCCTCATCGCCATCGGCATCCTCCACATTGTCCGCATCCACATCCTCCGTGTCGGCATCCTCAATTGAATTGTAGCGCTGACGCGTCATTGTTTTAGTGGGCGTGTCCTGCGACTGCCACTTGGTGGGCAACTGTTCCAGGGAGCAGGCACGATTGCGCATGGCCGCCAGCTCCGAGATGAGCAGCTCATGAAAAGCTGGCTTCTTCTCCGGCGTATTGCCAGCGCTGACAGATGTCTTGATGGGCTTGGTTTTGGTTTGAGGTTGGATTTGGGTTTGGGTTTGGCTGTTGCTGGGGTTTATGTTTATCCGCGTGCAGTTGCCCGCTGCTTGAATGACCTGGCTCAACTGTTGCTGCTCCTGTGCCCTTTCCCGCTCACGCACTCGCTCCATCTGCTGCCGCTTGTGGCGCTCCTGCGCCAGCTCCTGCTCCAGCAGCGCCTGATGCTGTATGGCGCGCTCATGCTTGGTTATAATGGTGGTATCTGCCAAAGTCTGCTTCTGAGATTGGCTTATAATGATCTCCGAGAAGAGACGCTCTGCGGCATTCTTTAGGTTATTCTTTAGCTCCACCGTTTTGCCGCCCAGAAAGCTGCCGCCGCTGCCCCCTCCCTGGCTCGACAACGGGCCATCCAGCGTGGTCTTGGAGCGCCTAAATATGCTAGTGGCGGGCGTAGCTGGCGGCGCCACAAAAGCGGCCACATCGTCCACATCCAGCGTGGCGACCGGAATTTGAACAATCTTCCGCGGCTTGGGCAACGGCTGTGTGGTGGGCAGCAGACCCGCACGCTCATAATCCACTTTGCCCAGACTCAAACGCGTGTCCTTGTGTGGCGTCGGACTGCTCTGTGCGCTTAGAGAATTGGCGCGATTCACGCTGATGACGGCCACAACGGACTCCCTCGGCTTAGCTGTGGGCACAGCCGGCGCTTTGCGCAGCTTTAACGGTGGCTTGGGCGCCGTTGCGGGGGCAGCAACTGTTGCTGTTGTTGTTGATGTTGCTGTTGTTATTGTTGTTGCGGGAGCAACTGTGGCTGTTGCAGCTGTTGCTGTTGCAGTTGCTGTTGCTGTTGCGCTACCAACTAGCGCCATGGTGGGCGTCTGTGTTTGCGCCTGTTTCTTTTGTAGATTCAGCGAAGGCGACTTGTAGACCAAGGTGCGTCCCACTGCGCTCAGTTGGCTAACAAATGTGGGCTTCTTTTGTATGAGTGGCGGGCAGGGTGTGCCCGCAGCAGCTGCTGCCGCTGTCCCTGCACCTACCGTAGCTCCTGCTGCTGTTGTCATTGTTGCTGTTGTTTTGGGCCTGGGCGGTACCGGCGGACCGGGCCGCTTAACCGCAAGCGTTGCCTGCATTTCGGTTGCTGCTGTTGCTGTTGTTGCCATTTGCGGCAAGTTCTCACGCCTTGTTGTTGTTGGCTCCGCTGCGCAAAACCCGTATTTGTAGGTCACTTTTTATACCCTATGCACAAATGTGAATGGAGGGTATATTGATCAGAGGACCAAGTATGTCCTTATAATGCCAACAACTGCGTATATAAAACCTTGTATATTCGCGTTAGTTTATCGACCAATTTGTTGACCACGCCTACTAGGGCGGCGGTTCAAACGTGAAAACCTGCAGCACACACAATTGAAAAGATAAAGCCAATAAATTGAGCAGTTCAATTACGGTTGACCTCCTCTTACGATCGAGTCCAAAATATTTGTTCTTATTTTTTTCGCGTTTTTTAAAGTCACTGATCGGCACTTACAGTTTTAGAGGCACCAGACGCACGTTGAACAGTTTTCAGCTGTTTTTCAACACTGTACACAGGGTATCGCGCAGTCGATGGCTGCCGCTTGGCAAGGTTCCGACTTGTTTTCTTTTTTTGCACCTTTGCAACTTCTCGACTTGGAAGGCGGCTTTGTATTTTGGTATTGCGATGCGTTTATTTATTTATTTATTATTATTTAGCATAAAACTTGTTTTGCTGCGTTCTTGTTGCTGTTGTCGTTGATGTTGTAGTTGTTGCTGTTAGCATTTTGACTGCAACTGCAACTGCGACGGCTGCTGCGACTGCGGCTGATCTATTTTGAATATAGGCCACGGCGGCGCACTAACGGGCCTAGTTGCTGCTTAAAGTTGTTGTTGTTGTTGCTGTTGTTGCTGTTGTTGTTGTTGTCGTATTCTGTTTGGCTTATTGCTTATTGGTTTATTGGCTTATTGAAACTCGTTTGGCTCGTTGTTGTTTTTGTTGTTGTTGCACTTTGAATTCTCTGTGAGTTTTTTATTTTTTTGTTTTTAAAGTGAAAGGGTTGCGGTTTTAAATATGTTTTTTTGTTTTTGGTTAGGTCTTACAGTGATTGCTCAAAAAAAGTAGAATTATCCAACACTAAGAACAACTTAACCTCACTATTTTTAAAATTATTGAACATTTAAATTAGCTGCTTTCCGTGGTGACATTTTTATGGATTTTTAAAAATATCAGATGTGAAAGGGTTATAAAATGCCGGTTCCAGTTTCTGGACGACTAAAATTTTGGAAATTTCCAATTTTCGAGCGATCACTGTACTTCTTATTTAATTTTCATGACTTTTATTTTTAATCATACACACTTTTTTTAATATGACATAATTGTTGTTGCATTTTGAAAGTGTTTTAAGCAATTTTTTCCTTATTTATGTTTGGCTTTTGCACGATTTTTGTGTCTCGTTGCGGGCGTCTAAAAAGCACGTCATAATTAAGTTTTATTGTTAGAAAGCTTAATTAAGCCAAAAAGCACATAAAAAAAAACGATAGAAACCCGAACTACAAATGTGATCAGAATAAATTGTAATTTAATGAAACTTTTAAGACACAGCTCATTTTTGTTGGAACAAAATGAAAACTAACGAAATGTCATTAAAAAACGATTTTAGAATTTGATTTTTCGTTTTCCACTGTATTACGCCTTAAAACCGTTACAGGAAAATGCATAAAGCAGTTGAATATGGAAATCTACGCAGCTTGTGTAGTAAATAAAATGAAACAGAAAATCAAAATCATGATTTAGAACAAATGCCAAAAACTGGTTTTAATAAATTAATTTAGTTTTCAGAAAAAAGAATAAGGGACTCGTTTGAAGATTCTTTCTCTTTTGCCAAATGCTTATTAATTCAAAGCAAAAAGCGTGATGAGAACTTTAAGCCTCGATATTAGGTCACAAAACGTTAATCGATCTGCGATAAGCAAACAATTGTTGGCCGATAAATAACAGTAAAACGCTTACAGCAACAAACAATTAGCGTCATATTAAAATATTAACACACACAAACACAGACACACACACATACGCACACACAGACACACGCACAAGCAGCTTGCACTTTGAGCCTTCGCTTGATTGGGCTTATTTTATTTAAATTTTGTTTAATTTAATTAAGTGCTAAGACGCTGCAAACAGGCTCAAAGAATGTCACCCACACACACACAATGTCGTGCGTTCAATGGAACACGTTCGCATACGCACGCAAGCATGGCTATTTTTGATCAAAAATTCTTGTTTCAAAAATTGTTATAAATATATATTTATGTAAATTAGTTACACTGCATTTGCATTTGTATTGCATTTGTCAAGCACCGAAAAACACACACAAAAAACACCGACACCGAAAACCGACACCGAACACACACACACAACATGAGCGACCGAGCGACCGTACGAGCCGTCCGTTTCGACGTTGCGCTTTGCACGAGAGTCAGAAATAAACTGAGAGCATGTAAGAGCTAAGCGCACCTTGCTCAATCTCGGCGCATTGTGTGTTTACATATTTGGCTGTGTGTGTGCGTACGTGTGGGTGCGCCAGTGTGTGCACGCCAATGATGTGCGCGTGACAAAAACAATCAGGTTACACGCGCACACGAGTGCGCCTATAAAACAGTTGTGTAGATAAAAGCAGAATTGATATTTTCTTATATTTATGTAGATTTAGTAAACCTTGCTATTTTCTCTCTTTTTGACGCTCACTCAAGCTTGCCTGGGGCATGCTTTCAGTTCGTATCTTTACCCAAGTAGCTTACTCACGACACGCTCACGCCAGTGTTAAGTGCATCTCTATTGAAACATGCTCTGCTTAAGTTGTAAGGTGTTCGCTCTCTTAACACATTGAGCTCGCTGTTAGGGCAGGCTGTTAACTAACAGTTTAACAGTTTTTGGCTGCTAAAGGTGTTCTCACAAATGTAGAACAAGCAAATTAAAATGGGATAATATATTAGTTCGAGAATGCCGAAAGAAAATACTTAATATTCTATTTGCTACCCTGTGTGTCTCAACAGATATGCTCTTGAGCTGTTGCTTAAGAGAAACTGCAACTGTTATTTCACTTACAGCTCTCTTATGTAAAGAGCAACTTGGCACATGGCCAAAAGTGCATTGATTGGCATTTGGAGCGGGTCTGTTGAGGGCCGACGCCGGCGTCTGGCTGCTGTGGTCGGTTGCAACAGCTGTTGTTGCCGCATTGGCACGCCATGCCCCCTCTCCCCTCTCCACACACCCACCTACCCATCAACAACTACATACGTAAATCTTTATTGATTGCATGTTGCAGGAGACGCTAAAAAGAACATAAACGCTAATCGTCTTTCGAGTGACTTTGCTGTCTGACTAAACAATTATTTTAGCCGGCAGAACTCAGGGCTCAAACCCCACAGCTGACAGCAGACAACAAAAAATTGCAAAAGCAAGTCGGCCCAGATATATAAAGTAATGCACACACACATTTATACGTACATAGATAAAATATGTACTTACATCCAAACTCCACATTACATATAAATCTTGCTCCTTTTTGGGGTTGCTGGGGTCGTTCGTTGTCGCTGCTTGAAATTACCGCTTTTATACCCTGTATTCAACGAAAGTGAGCAAATGGGGAAGAATGGTTTTGTGCAACTGATTGCTCCGCGCAGAATAAAGCATCTCTTTATAGATCTAACCATGTCCGTCGCGTCGATCTCCCATGCAAACCAAGTTTATTCCACATTTGTTTTTTCTGTATTAACTGTATTTCAGAGCGTGGAACCCTTTGCTTTTTTATACACACACTTTTGAAGGCCATATTCAAATCATGAAAAATGTATAAAAATCGGCCGATAACCCAAGCACCCAAGCTAATCAAGGATACATTTCTCATAATGTAAGGGACAAGAACACTCGCAGTGAACATGTGTTTTTGTGTATGTGTAGAATGAAGCTGGAATGTTTATAGGAGCAGCTCAGTGCTGATTTTAGGGTATCATCTAGTCGAGCACTCCCGACTGAAACACGCTTACATGTTGTATTTGCCTTTGGTAGGCAACCCGGCCACAGAACCGCCCCAAATAAGAGGCCGCCTAGCCGCTAGCCGGCGCTCTTTGTCTGGGCGGGGGGAAACTCCTCAGCCAGGCACTTCAAATGATTTCCATGGCACTCAGGAAGTCGCCTCTTCCGGCCAAAAAAAAAATGAAAATCGAAATGTAGGGAACCCGAGGCCTTCCCATTTTCATTTGCTCGTTTGCCGACACTTTTTGTCGATTTTCTTTTTGTTTCGCTCATTTGGCGCAGCGCATATAAATTCATATATATATATATATATATATATATATATATATGTACATATCTATATATATGTATGTTTATATTGTCAGCATTGTTCGGGCTAGTCTGGAGTATTTGTCGCAGTCGGGAATTGGCAAAGCACCAGCTGCAATTACAGTTACCAAGCATGCATAACACAATTGACTAAAAACATTTCATTTTTTAAATCACACACAAAGGATTATCCCTTACACACACACACACACACGCACACACTTGAATGCTTTCGAACGCACCCTTCGGCCATTAGGAAGCCCCAACAATGAAGGTTAAACTTACGCTAAATAGCTGTCGTCGCCAGCCACACTCCCAACAGCCACTTCTAATCCTTCTCCTTTAGGCTGGCGAAGCACTTCAACAACCGCTTCTAATACCGCATGCTGGGGAACGTGCAAAATCAATAACAAGAAGAAAGCTCACTTTTCTCAGTAAGGCCGAAGCTTAAATACCCTAGGTTAAGATATCTTGATAATAAATCAAGTTTTTTAAAAGTAACTGGTATTTCGAGCAATCCTTCCTTTGTTCCTATGAAATAGGCAGACCGACAGACCTTGGCTATATCGTTTAGGCTATTCCTACTGATCAAGAATGTATATGAATAATGGGTTCTACGACGATTTCTTCAATGCGTTACACACTTAGAATTACAAATACCCTTTGCGAGGCCATAACAAAAATTCAAGCGAGAATATAGATTAAAGTGCACATTGGCACACCCCAAGGGGTTGCACATTTCTTTACTTTACACAAAATATTATATTAAATAATTACCACAAGCTAATTATCATTATTAGTCATATCAGCGTGTGTGTGTGTGTGTGTGCAGGTGTGCGCGTATGTGTGTGTGCGTGTGGCTTTTAAAATAAACACTGCATAATAATAAGAAAAATATACAATTGGCTTTAAGTTGGTTTTTTTCTTTAAATCTAACAAGCTATAAAATATCAACTAGTTTACACACAGCTACACACACCTGTATACACACGCACACACAGGCACACGCACATACAGTTCACACAGAATTGGCATTAGAAAATAATTAACATTAGAAAACACATTTGTTTTGCATAAGATTTTTAAAACACACACACTGCTCATATATCCATTAACAATTCACTAATCATAGTAATTATATAGTATATATAGGTATATATAAGACATGACGATCTGACGTTCTTAGTTAGCGTTTTAGTTTAAATATACATAAATAAGCGTTAATGCTATTCAATTAATCGGTACAAAATACATACACATTTGTCATAAATACAGTACAATACAAGCAGAATAAAACAAGTACACAAAATAAAACAAGAGTTTTCAACGCTTTTCGCCTTTTTGCATTTACCCCTTACCCCGGCCGACCCGAACCCGTTAACGTTTTCCGTACA